ATTCCGGGGTGGGGGATGGGGCTGCCTTTTCTCCTGGTGAATGGGGGCTCCGGGCCCAGGTAGGGGTAGAGGAGGAGATGGGTAGGACGGTGGGCCGGCGCGTGTCGCTCGCCTACCGGGTGGGCTGAACCGGAGGGTCCCTGCGCTGTCTTCGGGCTTGTACCCCGCTGTGCGGGGCGGGGGAAGGCTGAGCGTTACAGCCGGTGGTGGCCCGGCTCGCCTGGGTGTGGCTCCTGTCCCCTCCCCCACCTGCTGCAGCTGTCGGGCCCGTGCAGACTACGGGAGCACCGGCGGTGTCGGGTGGCGGAGGGGACGCCGGTGGGAGAGTGGGGTGTGTCTGCGGGCGGCGTTGGCCTCGCTGGCCTCTGCCCTCGGCGCGGGCGGCGGCTCCCCGGTACCCGGCGCGGGCGGGGGCGCGCCGCTCCTCCCCCTGCTCTGGTGGGGGGAAAGTAACACTCGGCAGTAGGTTGGGCTCCTTGACACAGATCCGCCATGACAAAGGGAGAGTCGGGGACTTGTGCGGAGGCACTAGCTTGGGCGGAGCCAAGGAGGGGGAGGTTGCCGAGAGCGCGAACCCTAGGGTTTGCGCGTTAGAGTCACGGCCCACCGGTTGTCGGTTCACCCAACCCGGCGTTTCAAGCCGGTTAAGGGTTAAATGGGTGCGGCGAGTCCTCAGAAATGTAGAGGCGAGGCCTTGGAGCGCTAGTTACTCTGAGGAACCCAGTCCACTTCCCCTTGTAACCGAGGGGTGGGGAGAGAAACCTTTATACTGGTTTTAGATAATTTTTCGTTAGAAATAGCATTAGTCTGAGCGTTTTTTAGTTCCTAGGGGGAAAATCAGTAATTTCAAGAAACGGGGGTGGGGGTTATGCGACTACAAATTTAAAATAAGTTTTCCCATTGAAACACTACACCTTGCATCCAAGCTAGCTGATTACTTGTTTGAATACTGGGGACCTGTTCCAATTTTTTTAAGTGTTGGGGGAGGGGGGAAGATAAAGAACATGGTATTGGGGAGTCAATTCCCCTAGTGAGTGACAGAGGCTCTTCTGTTCACCTTTTAATATTGCTCTTAAGACCGTGCATTTTTATTTAAAATCGTTTCTTCTGTGGGATTGCTGTGTGTTTTAGTATCTTTCAGTGTTGTTTTAGTACATTTCAAAAGGATATCTTTAAGGAAAAGTATAACTAGGACAAATTGAAAAGTTTAGGGAGCTTTAAATTGAGGGAAAGAATTAGATGAGGAGTCATGGTAAGGACAGCTTAAGTGATAATATATTCAATTTTGACTACTGGATAGGAATGAAGTAATCTTACATTTAAACTAGAACAATGACATCGGAAGCACTAGTCACACTGGAAGTGCTAAATATGTAAATTCCAGGGCTCACAGAGAGTCAGAGTTGAAGTTTCAGGACTCATCGGTGTATATTTTTTAAGCATGTGTGCATATAACAAGGTACAGCTAAATGAGGCCTTAGGGTCAGTTACTGATTGTATTCAAAATATCTTAAAACAAGCAATTTGGTCATTTTTTCCAGAAAACTCATTCTTTGATCAGCTGGCAAATGTTGCAGCAGTCGATTTGGGGTGGGGGTAGTACGAACTGAAATTTAAAATTAAACTACTGAAAAGAGTAGGTATTATGAAAGTATAGACATGAATTACACATTAAACTGACAGGAATCGTGGTTCTGGAAATATGATAGAAACGTATTGTTCTTCAGGGGCAGTGTTTTCACTAAAGGAAAGCTGCTTAATTTTTTATTATTTAGTGAGATTGGAAACGAGTTGAAATTTTGGCCGTGAAAGATAAGGATTGGTTTTTAAGGTGGCCTCTGTGCTTTGACCTTATGTGAAATTGGGATCTTCTGAACAAAGTTAAGGTGATGTAATTTTAATTTTGCTAAACTGATGTTAATGGCTTTAAATTTGCCCTCTGAGTATGCCTTTTTTTTTTTTCCCCCTATTCTGATCATTGTGTGTGTGTGTGAGGCTGCATTAAATTCCTCATGTGAAGAATCTTCCAAAGGAAATTAATCTTCCATAGGCAGTTAAATTTGAGGTGTCAAATACAATTTTATTTTTTTTTACAAAAGGTATAATTTTGAGTCTGTCTTGTTTTTTTTATGGAAAAAATATCTAAATGCTTCTCTTTTTTCTGCAGAACATCCAGTCATGGATAAAAATGAGCTGGTGCAGAAGGCCAAGCTGGCCGAGCAGGCTGAGCGATATGATGACATGGCAGCCTGCATGAAGTCTGTAACTGAGCAAGGAGCTGAATTATCCAATGAGGAGAGGAATCTTCTCTCAGTTGCTTATAAAAATGTTGTAGGAGCCCGTAGGTCATCTTGGAGGGTCGTCTCAAGTATTGAGCAAAAGACAGAAGGTGCCGAGAAAAAACAGCAGATGGCTCGAGAATACAGAGAAAAAATTGAGACTGAGCTAAGAGATATCTGCAATGATGTACTGGTGAGAATCAAACATTCATTCTAGTCTCACTGTACTCTAAGGTTTCTGTAATGAATATCAGTTATGATGCTTTCAATTTTTTTCATTGGTTTTTCTTTTTAAAAATTTAGTGGTCCAAGTCTGCATGGTGTCACACTAAAAGATGTAAAAACAATTGTAGTTAAGTTTGTATAAAATAAATGCAATAATTTCAGCCACTCCCAAGAGACTAAAATAGACTGTAGTAGTGGTTTTTGCACTAATTGAAAAGATTAGTAACATTATCATTTCAGTTATAGTTGGAGTATTTGTGGTATTTCTAGAGCTAATTTTTAAAAATGTACATATGTGGATATAGTAACTTTACATATCTTGGTATTTGTATTTTTAATTCTCACCCAAGAATTTGTTTTATTTGATTGGGGGGGCATATGAGAGAGAAACATCAGTTGGTTGCCTCCTGGACCTGCCCCCACCTGGGATTAAACCCTCAACCTAGGTATGTTCCCTGAGCAGGAATTAAACCCGAAAACTTTTGCTGTGTGGGATGAGTGCTCCAACCAAGTGAGCCACCCAGCCAGGGCTACATATCTTGTTTTTATGTAAAAGAGATGTAATCGGAGACTCACTGTAGACATAGTACCTACCCTTCTCCGTATCAGCTCCATAACGTCAGAATGATGAGTGGGCTGTATAGAAAACACTGGCTTTAGTAGCTCTTGCTTCATCCTGAATTTAAGTGTTAGGGGCCGACTTTGAACTCACCACCACAGTAAAGGTATATGAATAACTCCAGCTTGATTTTCCAGGTGCAGTTGAAGTATTTTAGGTTCTCAGCATCTTCTGTGTTGAAGTACTGATTCTCTAAAGAGGCTTAAAGAGCCCGAGCTGGTTTTGCTCAGCAGTTACAGCATTGGCCTGCAGACTCAAGGGTCTTGGGTTCGATTTTGGTCAGGGGCACATACCTTGGTTGCAGGCTCAATCAATCCCCGGCTCCAGGCAGGTGCAGGAGGCAGCCAATCGATGTGTGTCTCTCACATCGATGTTTCTTTCCCCGCTTCCATTCTCTGAAAAGCAATGGAGAGAATATCCTTGGGTGAGGATTAAAAAATAATAAAAATAAAAAGCTTCAAAGAATTGAACAGTACATTTTGATTAATTTTGTTTTTTTTACAAACAATGACGTTCTGATTCAGAAAAGTTTAAATCTGAGGATAAATTGATAGAAGATCCAACCATTTAGCATATAACATCCTATATATGTCCATACTTTATCTAATGAACAGGAGTTTCTGGAATAATATTTAAAGTGGTTTTGCTAAATGCTTGCACATTGGCTCTCAGTATGGTAGGGCTCTGGTATGTAGAGAGATGTCGTATGGCAATTACTCCGACAGGTTACTGAATCTGGGACTTGGTATGGAAGCCCAGGTGCGTTATTGATTATTTGGCTCTTGTTCGTGGAGGAATGACAATGAGCAATACAGGCTGTTCAGGTCGTGATGGTATTACGATTCTTTTATACTAGCCTCTGATTGCTAAGTTACCAGCACTTTTCTCAGATGGTATTTTCTTCAGGTTGTCTTTTTAAAGAACAATAATATTTTTTGTCTTAATTAACATGGGCTTATAAAGTCTTCTCATGTGATAACTGCCTTGGGTGCATTTTTTTTTGCTTTTACTTGAAATCTTTACATTGATAGCTGTCATTTCTAAGATGAGAAAGGAATTTCATGATTTATCCAGGCTAAATGACAGTGCTTATTTTAAAATAATCATTATTTTCCATAATAAAAAAACGTGTCATTCCCCCCCCTTACTCTTCTTACTAATAATGAGTACCTATGTACATGTTACTGAATTTTGTTCATTCTAGTGCTTTTCCCCCAGTTATGACATCTGATCAAATCATTTTTACTTTGGTTTCAAAGGTTTGGTACAAGTTGTTTCCCTTAAGACAAAAGTCAATTTAAGGATTAAAAGGGGCATAGTAACATTTACTCTCTACTAACAAACTTATTTGCTGTTCCAGGTAGGTATTTGCATGTTTTCCACACTGAAAGTATAAAAACCCCTGTCTGTGAGGACTTTCCTAGGAAAAGCCTGTAGCAGTTTTAATTTTGCTCCCCTTTTCCTTGCTAAGTGGGGAAAAGGTGTTTCATAGGATCAGTGGATAAGAATAACAAGATCTCTGAACAGCTTGTAGATATGATTGTTGGGGTTTCATACTGGTAACTACCTGTGTTGCTCTACTTCAGAATATCACTGTTCTCTCCAAGTGTAACTGAGATTTGCACTTTGAAAGTTCAGATAAATGAAAGTTTAATTCCTTTACCATACAAAAAGCTCAGAATTCTAAATAAGATTTGCGTCCAACCATTGTCTTTTCATGGGTAAAACTACGATGGTGATCTTTGCATAGCTCACACCTCTAACATATAGTAGATACTCAAATACTTGAGTAAATGAGCAAAGGGGCTTCTTTTAAAAAAGAGTAATAGGACTAGGTCAGCAGCCCTGCTAATTTTTCCAGGCCTTTTCTTTTTTAACTTGGAAAAATTCTATATTTACAGGTAATTGGTTTTTTACAAGAAGGTTTTTTGTCCCTACCACTTTTTTTTTTTTTTTT